CAGTAGCAGGTTTAGAGCTAAAGCGTGGCTAGCTATGCTGCCTTAGCACACTTGTATGGGGCTAGAAATCACGCACCGTACCTTCTTATTGGCAATTTGTGATGTATTAGTTCATACATACAAAGTACTTTCTCTTTTACTAGCGTTATGTGCCTAAATTAGCACAAGCTAGCAGCTAAGCTCTTCAGAATGTTTATGTACAACACACTGGTGGTGAACTTGAAGGAAGCGCCTGATTGGCCGTGAGTTTCACGCATGCGCACGCATTCTTACGACCGCAGGCGATTTTGATTCAACGTAGCAACCGAGTCTTTTGAATCGGTTCAGTGAAAACCCCTTTTTGCAGATTGCATTTTCTGCTAGGTTGACAACGACGAGCTGGTGCTGAGGTGGTCCACGGTAACGTACAATTTACGAAATAATATTTTGAAATAAGTTTTAAATTTGTCATGGACGCTTTTTTTCTTAAGACTGCTCAGAAATTTGAATCGTTAATTCCAGTCAGCAAATTTCCTTTGGCATAAATTTTGCCTAAAAAACCCGTGTGGCCCAGATTAGATCGTGTTAGAAAGCACACTTCCTTTTTAACGTAGCTAAGAACTAAACCAAAACTTCACTCATGCTGACCCAAATAACAAAAATTTGGTTTAATCAGTCTCTGAGAAAACAGCCCCTTTTAAGGGGTTCTGTGCACCAAAGCATAAAAAAAAACCCCCTTCAATAAATGGCTTTACATTTTATCAGTAAATGCACCATACTTTCATGCTCACTGAAAGTTAAAAATACCTATTAAAAAAAATAAATATAGCTTCTATAATCCCTACCTAAGTTCAGACAAAAGCTTCAAATTTGTCACATTTCTAGAAAAGACAAAAGCGCAACAAATCCTTTCAGGAAGTTTTATTGAGATATAAAGATGCTGTTACCAATATAACTTAAGTCACTTATTTTTAAAATCACTTAAAAACATTCATAGTCAAATCCGTCATATATACACATAAAACAAGTCTTAGTTACAGACTTAGTTCAGTCTGTCAATAAGTGGCCTCTGAAGTACAAGACAGACTTTAAGATAAAAAGCAAACACTTGAGAAGTCTCAAAAGCAGTTAAAAGTGGCAAAAAGACTGTACACTTACTAATAAAAACTAGTTAAATATAAATTTAGCACAGTAGTCAGTCAAGTTTATAGTGGTTAACTTCTGGGATCCCACCACAGGATTCACATTAGAGCATCTTGAGGACCAGCATTGCTAGCTTTCTCCAACATCTGGAGCCTGAGGGCCAGAGGTAGCAGCAGGTCATTCAGATGTTGGCTGCTGAAGGTGAACGCATTGTTGGCCACCGCTTCCACGGACGGAGGCGTGATCGGACCAGAGCCATCGGGGAACACCGGCGAGGCCAAAGCAGATGGAGGCGGAGATGGAGATGAACACATGTCCGAGTCTGGCGAAATCGATCCACCGTTGGGCATCTGATGAGGCCAGGATGTGCGGTTCAAGTTGACTCCTTTGATTGTATTGGGAAGCCCGTGCTGGAACCGGCAACGGGTGCCATACAGACAGAAACCAAAAGCGCTAAAGGTGCGACAGAGGGCACCGCGAGGCTTCCACTCTTGGGATTGTGACGGAGACGGCCAGGTTCGTTCTTCCTCCCTACTGTCTGATTCAGAGCCACCCTCGACATGAAGAAAGTGGCATCTAGTGCCAAAAGGGCAAACCCCGAACGCACGATAGGTACGGCATGGTACATTCCTGCGCCGGGGACGGACGGGCCTTTGCTCTTTAAGGTTGTGCACAAACAGACATCGCGTGCCATAAACGCAGTAGCCGGCGGTGTGGTAGGTACGACACAGCTCGGTTTTGTATTTGGGATGGCGGGAGGGAACGTGGAGATCATGAAGGCCATGGGCAAACTGGCAGCGTTCGGCATACTTGCAGGTACCAGTCTCAGCATAGCGGCTGCACAGTTCGGTCTTGTAGCGGGTGGAGCAGAGCCACGGGGTAATCGGAGGGGATGATGGAGACTCAACCAGGGGAAGCAAAGCCTCAGCAAGAGACTGGCTCCCTTGCCCTAAACCCTCTGCCTCAGGGAAAAAAGCCTCATTCAGGCCTTCAGTAGGGAACAGGAACAGGTCATCTTGACTGGTCTGGAATGAGGAAAGGATATTCTTTAAAGTGATTCACCATATCAAACATTCAGTCATATGAGCACACTTATTTTAATGGTCCCTTTAACATAGTCTGTTGTATACAAATAACGTTGCACCAACAGGTCTACCAACTCTGAGTGTGTTAGTAGAAGTTGACATCTAGTTACAAAGTTACATAGTAGAGTGTTGGAGGAGTAGTTAACTTTTAAAAAAAAAACTTTTGCTGATAATTTACTCACCCCCATGTCATCCAAGAGGTCCATGTCTTTCTTTCAGTCGAAAAGTAAAAGTTTTTTTTTTTTTTTAATGAAACGCTCCAGGATTTTCTCCATATAATGGACTTCAATGGGAACCAAACGGTTCAAGGTCCAAATGAGAGCTTCAGTGCAGCTTCAAAGGGCTTTAAACACGGGTCTTATCTAGGACCCTTAAAAGTCAAGACTCAAAATAATTGTTCATTTTGACGAATGAGTTTGAACAGGAGAGTCACAAACGCTTATCACAGAACAGAGCAAGGCGAGCATTTGTGCTTATGAAACTGCAACTTTAATTTATTTTTTAAACGAATTATCATTTCATTTGATAAGACCCTTATTCACCATCTGATGTCGTTTAAAGCCCTTTGAAGCTGCACTGAAACTCATTTGGACCTTGAACCATTTGGTTCCCATTGAAGTCCATTATATGGAGAAAATCCTGGAATGCTTCAAAACCCCTTAATTTCTTTTCGACTGAAGAAAGAAAGACATCTTGGATGACATGGGGATGAGACGAGTACATTATCAGCAAAAGTTTTTTTTTTTTTTTAAAAGTGAACTCCTTTAAGTCTAGAGTTAGTTGACATGCATGTTTCAAGGGGACCATTCAACTAAAGTGTTACCACGTTTTAACTAGAAGGTGTAATAATCATTTCAGTGACTCCTATTACAGTTACTCATAGCATTTGGTTATGTGAAAAACATTTTAGTCAAATCAAAACAAGTGGTGCCATGCATGAATCTTAAAGCAAGACAAAAATAAACTTACCTCAAACATTGCTGTGCGTTTTTGGACTGCTTTACAAAACTCAACGGCAGATTAATAAAACGAGGGCTGTGTCGTTCAAAAAGTGACGTTCAAGCAACCAAAACACCTGATCTAACTCCGGAAAACCCTCGAGTCCTTTACTTTAACCCAGGTGGAAGACGCAGACTGACTGGCAAGTCCCACGCAGCGACAACTCTTCGGCCTTTGGTTTTAAAGCCGGATTCCGTGCCATTTAAAATGTGATTCACCTGTGAAGCGTGAACATTCGAATCAGCCAATCAGGTTTGACGTAGGCGGCCGTCAATCTAATTTGGAAGCGATGATGCTTTCGTCTGCGGTGTTTTGAATTTGATCAAATTTGGGATATCGCCCCTGACTCGTAGCCGTAAGATTTACTGGAATAAACATTTGACAAGGAGCTTGTTAGCCGACTTCAAAGAGCAAACTCGGAATATACAAGTATGCCCATCCTGTATCAATTACCGCATCACACCTCGAGTGTTTGTCTGTGAGTCTTTGTGTTATGCTTATTGTGAGGCTTTAGATGAGGATGTACATTTACAGTCCGCACACAATAAGCAATCGAGCATTACAGTCTTAAATATCCCACTGAACTGACTTGAAATGGATACAATAAAAGAAAAAAACAACAATACATTTAATAGGAGATATTTAAAAATAAAAAATAAAAACATTTTTAAAAAATCCATTTGCTTAATAAAAGTTATACACAGTATATTTAAATTGAAAAAATAATAGATTTTTATATATAATTATCAATTATATTTTATATTGTTTTTGAGGAAATATGTATTTTCAACATTTTTTGATTTTTGCAGCTTGGACGAAGCTTGCTGATGCCAAACCTGTCCATAGCAGGCACACCGTAACTTTAACTTTTCCCACTGTAGTTTCGTCTGTTTAATTTGTTACTTGAGGTACTTCTGAATTATAGACTGTTTGGACCTGGGTGAGTACGGATCCACACTTACCAGAAAAAGACCATCCGGGGACTTTTGGCATACTCTTTTCGTCATACAATGCTTTGAGACACACTTAATGTAATCTCACACTATTTAGGATGGATAGTATGACCATTGGGACGCAGGGAATTTTTCTCAAAATTGAAGCTTGTAAAAAATTGTAACCAAAAAAAAAAAGGAGACAATTTCAACATTAACAGAGAACCTGGCCTGCCCAGCAGATTTCGTATCTAATTCTGAGATAATTAACTAGTTAATTCATAAAAACAGAGAAGATTTTGTTTCCTCAAGTGAATCATGCAATACGCTTCCATACAGATGACCTTTCATTCTTTAGATAATATATTTTCCTTTAGTAATAGGCTCTGTTTCACAGACAGGATTTAGGCCTTAGTTCAAATTTGGGCATTTAAGCTTTTATAAATGTGCTTTGGTAAAAAAAAAAAACCCAAAACATTATTGGTGTGAATCAGAGACAAAAACAGTGCACTGACAAACTGCTTTCAGTTACAACAGCTCAAACACATTTTGAACTAGACTTAATCCTTGTCAGTGAAACCAGGGGGATTGTAAAAATATACAATATTAAATGTTGTTGTAGTTTTTATTCTGAAAGGTAGGTAGGTGTGTGTGTTATGGTTTCCCCATTCAACATGTAGAACCAGCCCTGTTTCCACTACATCAAGAGGTTTCAATTAAGGATTATCAGCTGCTTCAAGTCCCTGTTGGTCCTGACCCATCTCTTGTCTGCCATAAATCCTCCAACAAGCTCAATCATCATCAAATATGCCAGAAATATTGTGGCGGAGTGGCAGAATAAAACAAAGACAGACACTCAAAAAAAATTCACAGATGTCACTTTAAGATAAATAATAGATAATAAATGTACATGTGTGTGTGTGTGTGTGTGTGTCTGCTCTTACTCTCAGGGTCTTGTGGATGATTTCCGAAGAGCTTCCGTCACGCATTCAGCGTGAGACTCACACTTGACCCTTTTCACACTCTCACGCCACACATCCATTTTCTCACGCAGAGAAAAATTGTGAAGCAAAGATCTTTGGACACTGACACCGACAGACAAGACAGAGCTGGTTCTTTTAGATATGAAACAAAATCTCAGCTCTCAGATTCTGCCATTTTTATTACAAAATTAAAAAAATAAATACCGTTTTGGCGTTTTTAAATGTGACAGATCGATGTTGGCCTCAGTTTAAATGGCACGGGAACCGATCATCTCTCTTTGCTAGCCTAGTTAGTAGTAAATAAACATGAATGATCAATAGCTAGGCCTATGTTGAAAGATACAGTAGCCTACAACTTACCGATATTGCCAATCAGTGTTTGTGTTATAAAGTCACAATTGCGAGATGTAAACTGGCAATTGTGAGGAAAAAAAGTAAGAATTGTGACATAAAAAGTCATACTTCTGTTATTTTTTTCTCAGAATTGCGACTTTCTACTTTCTTATCTCGCAATTCTGACTTTATATCACGCAATTCTGACTTTATATCACGCAATTCTGTCTTTATATCACGCAATTCTGACTTTATATCTCGCAATTCTGACTTTATATCACGCAATTCTGACTTTATATCTTGCAATTCTGACTTTATATCTCGCAATTATGACTTTATAACTCGCAATTATGACTTTATAACTCGCAATTCTGACTTTATATCTCGCAATTCTGACTTTATATCACGCAATTCTGACTTTATATCTCGCAATTCTGACTTTATATCACGCGATTCTGACTTTATATCTCGCGATTCTGACTTTATATCACGCGATTCTGACTTTATATCTCGCAATTCTGACTTTATTTCACGCGATTCTGACTTTATATCTCGCGATTCTGACTTTATATCACGCAATTCTGACTTTATATCTCGCAATTCTGACTTTATTTCACGCAATTCTGACTTTATATCTCGCAATTCTGACTTTATATCTCGCAATTCTGACTTTATATCTCGCAATTCTGACTTTATATCTCGCAATTCTGACTTTATATCTCGCAATTCTGACTTTATATCTCGCAATTCTGACTTTATATCACGCAATCCTGACTTTATCTCGCAATTCTGACTTTATATCTCGCAATTCTGACTTTATATCTCGCAATTCTGACTTTATATCTCGCAATTCTGACTTTATATCTCGCAATTCTGACTTTATAGCTCGCAATTCTGACTTTATATCACGCAATCCTGACTTTATCTCGCAATTCTGACTTTATATCTCGCAATTCTGACTTTATTTCACGCAATTCTGACTTTATATCTCGCAATTCTGACTTTATATCTCGCAATTCTGACTTTATATCTCGCAATTCTGACTTTATATCTCGCAATTCTGACTTTATATCACGCAATTCTGACTTTATCTCGCAATTCTGACTTTATATCACGCAATCCTGACTTTATCTCGCAATTCTGACTTTATATCTCGCAATTCTGACTTTATTTCACGCAATTCTGACTTTATATCACGCAATTCTGACTTTATATCTCGCAATTCTGACTTTATATCTCGCAATTCTGACTTTATATCACGCAATTCTGACTTTATATCTCGCAATTCTGACTTTATTTCACGCAATTCTGACTTTATATCTCGCAATTCTGACTTTATTTCACGCAATTCTGACTTTATATCACGCAATTCTGACTTTATATCTCGCAATTCTGACTTTATATCTCGCAATTCTGACTTTATATCACGCAATTCTGACTTTATATCTCGCAATTCTGACTTTATATCTCGCAATTCTGACTTTATATCACGCAATTCTGACTTTATATCACGCAATTCTGACTTTATATCTCGCAATTCTGACTTTATTTCACGCAATTCTGACTTTATATCTCGCAATTCTGACTTTATTTCACGCAATTCTGACTTTATATCACGCAATTCTGACTTTATATCTCGCAATTCTGACTTTATATCACGCAATTCTGACTTTATATCTCGCAATTCTGACTTTATTTCACGCAATTCTGACTTTATTTCACGCAATTCTGACTTTATATCTCGCAATTCTGACTTTATATCACGCAATTCTGACTTTATATCACGCAATTCTGACTTTATATCTCGCAATTCTGACTTTATTTCACGCAATTCTGACTTTATATCACGCAATTCTGACTTTATATCTCGCAATTCTGACTTTATATCACGCAATTCTGACTTTATATCACGCAATTCTGACTTTATATCTCGCAATTCTGACTTTATTTCACGCAATTTTGACTTATATCTCGCAATTCTGACTTTATATCTCGCAATTCTGACTTTATTTCACGCAATTCTGACTTTATATCTCGCAATTCTGACTTTATATCTCGCAATTCTGACTTTATATCTCGCAATTCTGACTTTATATCTCGCAATTCTGACTTTATATCTCGCAATTCTGACTTTATATCTCGCAATTCTGACTTTATATCACGCAATCCTGACTTTATCTCGCAATTCTGACTTTATATCTCGCAATTCTGACTTTATTTCACGCAATTCTGACTTTATATCTCGCAATTCTGACTTTATATCACGCAATTCTGACTTTATATCACGCAATTCTGACTTTATATCTCGCAATTCTGACTTTATATCTCGCAATTCTGACTTTATATCACGCAATTCTGACTTTATATCTCGCAATTCTGACTTTATATCACGCAATTCTGACTTTATATCACGCAATTCTGACTTTATATCTCGCAATTCTGACTTTATTTCACGCAATTTTGACTTATATCTCGCAATTCTGACTTTATATCTCGCAATTCTGACTTTATTTCACGCAATTCTGACTTTATATCTCGCAATTCTGACTTTATATCTCGCAATTCTGACTTTATATCTCGCAATTCTGACTTTATATCTCGCAATTCTGACTTTATATCACGCAATTCTGACTTTATATCACGCAATTCTGACTTTATATCACGCAATTCTGACTTTATATCTCGCAATTCTGACTTTATATCACGCAATTCTGACTTTATATCACGCAATTCTGACTTTATATCTCGCAATTCTGACTTTATATCACGCAATTCTGACTTTATATCACGCAATTCTGACTTTATATCACGCAATTCTGACTTTATATCTCGCAATTCTGACTTTATATCACGCAATTCTGACTTTATATCAAGCAATTATGACTTTATTTCATGCAATTCTGACTTTATATCACGCAATTCTGACTTTATTTCACGCAATTCTGACTTTATATCACGCAATTCTGACTTTATATCTCGCAATTCTGACTTTATATCACGCAATTCTGACTTTATATCACGCAATTCTGACTTTATTTCACGCAATTTTGACTTATATCTCGCAATTCTGACTTTATATCTCGCAATTCTGACTTTATTTCACGCAATTTTGACTTATATCTCGCAATTCTGACTTTATATCTCGCAATTCTGACTTTATTTCACGCAATTCTGACTTTATATCTCGCAATTCTGACTTTATATCTCGCAATTCTGACTTTATATCTCGCAATTCTGACTTTATATCTCGCAATTCTGACTTTATATCTCGCAATTCTGACTTTATTTCACGCAATTTTGACTTATATCTCGCAATTCTGACTTTATATCTCGCAATTCTGACTTTATTTCACGCAATTTTGACTTATATCTCGCAATTCTGACTTTATATCTCGCAATTCTGACTTTATTTCACGCAATTCTGACTTTATATCTCGCAATTCTGACTTTATATCTCGCAATTCTGACTTTATATCTCGCAATTCTGACTTTATATCTCGCAATTCTGACTTTATATCTCGCAATTCTGACTTTATATCTCGCAATTCTGACTTTATATCTCGCAATTCTGACTTTATATCACGCAATCCTGACTTTATCTCGCAATTCTGACTTTATATCTCGCAATTCTGACTTTATTTCACGCAATTCTGACTTTATATCTCGCAATTCTGACTTTATATCTTGCAATTCTGACTTTATATCTCGCAATTCTGACTTTATATCTCGCAATTCTGACTTTATATCACGCAATCCTGACTTTATCTCGCAATTCTGACTTTATATCACGCAATCCTGACTTTATCTCGCAATTCTGACTTTATATCTCGCAATTCTGACTTTATTTCACGCAATTCTGACTTTATATCACGCAATTCTGACTTTATATCACGCAATTCTGACTTTATATCTCGCAATTATGACTTTATATCTCGCAATTCTGACTTTATATCTCGCAATCCTGACTTTATCTCGCAATTCTGACTTTATATCTCGCAATTCTGACTTTATATCACGCAATTCTGACTTTATATCACGCAATTCTGACTTTATATCTCGCAATTCTGACTTTATATCTCGCAATTCTGACTTTATATCTCGCAATTCTGACTTTATATCACGCAATTCTGACTTTATATCACGCAATTCTGACTTTATATCACGCAATTCTGACTTTATATCATACAATTCTGACTTTATATCACGCAATTCTGACTTTATATCTCGCAGTTCTGACTTTATATCACGCAATTGCGACTTTATTTCTCACAATTCTGAATTCATATCTCGCAATTGTGAGATAAAAAGTCGCAATAATTTTTTTCTTTTTTTTTATTCAGTGGTGGAAAGAAGCTTCCATTTCTATTCACAGACTTGTTGTCATGCACAAGTCTACCATGAATAAGGTCCGCTGTGAGTGCAAATAAATCAATACCCATGTAATTGTTCAAAAGAAAGATGAAGATTTGCCTGTTTAGGACCACAAACAAAAAAAAATCTTTATTTTCTTATCACAAGATACATTAAAGGATACAGAGACACTGGAATATTAAAAAAAGTTTGAGTTGTGAGTTGAAAGAAACTTGAAATCCTTCACACCCTTGAATCAAACCCTAAAATCAACCAGTCTTCCCTCCCCAACTTTTCCCATTATGGAGATCAATGTTTTTTTTTTTTTTTCCCACACTTTGCCAAAATATTGTAGGGTCACAAACCCCCTTCATAAAAAAAACTGGTGACACTTAAAAGGGGACGTCAACATTTATTTGTGTCTTTAGTGTGCAGTGCACGCTCCATTTGTTTAAGAAACATTACAAAACCCCTAATGGGGGGAACAATTTACAATGAAATTTTGTGTTGATGAACCTCAGCAAACCAGGAAATCTGTCAAAATGCCCAACCGTTCAGCTAAAAAAAAAAAAAAAAAGAAAAAAGCTTAATCATAAGGCGGAAATATGCATCAATATTACCGTATAGTTGAGCCATGACAAGGAAACCTCAAAACAGCTTTTCTATCTCTCACCAGATCCAGTTTACAAAAAAAACAAAAAAACTCATATGGGGGTTGGGACAAGTATGAATCAACATCAGCCTATATCGAGTCATTACTAGAAAAACTCAAAAACATCTTTTCCCTCTCTCATTATCTACAATTGCTATAATTAGCTTCCCAGTAGCCCACAAGACCATTATAACACAAATGCTAGTGCGTTAACATGTTTGGAAAAAGAGCAGAAGTGGAAAACAAATTTTTATGGCTTTCTTCAAGTCGTTGATGGAAAAAGCTCAATTATTGAGGAAACCGACTGCAACATCCAACCACCTCAAACCTAGATTCGCCTTACATTCATGAACACCTTCAACACTTGACTAAAACCAGAAGCCTTTCTAAATCATCAAACCTGTAGAATCCTACAAGACCTTCAAATATCACTGACTGGAGTAGCTACACTGCAGGATTTTAGCATCCATAATCCCAATAAACAATATTTTTCTGAAAAACCAGGTCGCGATCAATGAACACCAACCCGACAGCAGATCCGTTGTATAGCGGGTAATACTTTTGCTGTAACGCCTTCCATCTTTCACAATTCAGCTAGGCCTGAAAGGCTGAAATAAAAGGAGCAGCGCAGTCATTTATTTGTCTATTTAGCGTGAAAAGGGGCGATTTTTGTTTTTAACACGGACGACCTAAGAAATTAAGTAAAAAGACCACATACTCCCCGACACATTTCAATCCCACTTTCCAAACACACAAGAATCAAACTCTTGAGAAATCTTGTTAATATTTGTACAAATAACGACGGAGAAAAATAAAGTGTGCTTTTACACCATCTTAGAAGGAACATGATTCACTTTAAATTACACAGTTAAAAGAATTTGCGATTAAAAAAAAGCAACGGGACAGCAGGGCGTCGAACCCTTAAACTTTAACACTGGGAGTAAAACGCTATGAATTCTGGTGTATGCTGGTGTAAGAGTATGCGGTACGCCATTTTCCCGTGAGCGCGGTTGTGGGATTCCAGGGGGGGACAACAGAAGACGAGGAATGAGGAAGAACAGCTGATGATTGGTGGGTTTAACATGCTCTGGCAATGGATGTGGTCTACTGGAACATCGCTCAGTCCTCCAACACAATTGGCTCACTGGTGCTGGAAGGTAAGATGGGTACGGGAAGTGGCCGGGGCGGCACGGGAAGTTTGACTCTGACCGGAAGGTGTGGTTTTCTGGCCGCCCGCCTCATTTCCGCCTGAGTGAGGTGTTTCCTCAGGGCTCTGTGAATCACACACTTGGAATTAGTCCCAGGTAAAAGCAAAACATGACATTAAGATGTTTTTGAAACATACCTGGTGTCTTTCGTAGCCACAAACACCACAGGATTTGGAGCATCTCCTTGACTGACCTTCTGCCTCTTAATGACTGACTGGTTGGCTGCTCTCATTCCCGATGCGAACGGCCTTCCATTGGTGGAGAAAGAATGACCTCCAGCCTGCAGCCAATGAGAGCGCTTAGATCTATGTACACTATTTTCGACCATTGAGAAGGTTAATGTGTATTTGTAAGGAATACTCACGTTGTCGAAGGGCCTCTTGCCCAGTAGGGCGGATGCGCTTCGAGGTTGGTTGACCTGGTTACGGTTGATTGGTGTTGGAGCACCTCGAGGTGCTTTGAGTTTCAAAGGAGCTTGGATAGCTGAAGAAAAGAGCATAATAACCCTTAATATTCAAACATGAAGTCAAATGATCTGTTCTCAAATATTTTTTTTCACTGTGCCACACAATTTAATTCGCTTTTATGTCTATTTTTTTCCACTATTAAAGGAGTTCACTCTAAAAAAAAACTTTTGCTGATAATTTACTCATCCCCATGTCATCCAAGATGTCCATGTCTTTCTTTCTTCAGTCGAAAAAAAATTAAGGTTTTCGATGAAAACATTCCAGGATTTTTCTCCAATGCACTTTATTGGGAACCAAACGCTTCAAGGTCCAAAAGACACTTTCAGTGCAAACTGTTCAAAGGGTTTGAAACGAACGATTCCAGACGATGAATCAGGATCTTAACAAGCGAAACGATCGCTCATTTAATAAAAAAATAACAAAGTTTAAGTATTATAAGCTCAAATGGTCACCTTGCTCTGAACAGGAGAGTCACGAAAGCGCATCACAGAACAAACTCGTTCATCAATTAACAAATCTTTTTCCGAGTCATTTGGTTCATTCAACAAATGAAATGAACGAGTTGACTCGGGAAAAGATTCGTTCATTTTGATGCACTGAAACTGTATTTTGGACCTTGAACCGTTTGGTTCCCATTGAAGTCCATTATATGGAGAAAAATTCTGGAATGTTTTCATCAAAAACCTTAATTTCTTTTCGACTGAAGAAAGAATGACATGGATATCTTGGCTGACATGGGGGTGAGTAAATTTATCAGCAAAAGTTTTTTTTTTTTTTAAAGTGAACCACTCCTTTAACACGAGAATGAACCTCATTGGCTCTCGCATGTCAAGCGAACACGCTTGAGCTTCTGTTTATCACAACTGATGTGTGTATATTTAAATAACAGACTAAATTCAATCTGTTCATCATAAAAAGTGAGCGAGTCTCTTCAAAAATTTGGACTAAACCGCTCAGCTCATATGGATTAGGTTTATGATCTCTTTGCTTTTTGAAGCAGTAATCGTGGTAGTTGTGTAGCTGTCAATGGAGGGACAGAAATCTCTCAGACTTCATTAAAATATATTCATTTGTGTTCCAATAATGAATGCAAGTCTTACGTTAAGTAAATGATGAAAATGATCATTTTTGGGGAACTAACCCTTTAAAGGTGATGTGTGTAATTTAATGTTAAAACAACGCTTTTATATCACTATTTTTGGTTTTGATGTAATGAAGCCATACCCAATTCTTTAACTATATTGATGAGGGACGGTCGAGGAATAGTGCGGTTCTTCATAGCACTCTTTGCTGCTTTAGGAAGTCTTATCATACCTAAAAGAGAAAAAGAGGCAGTCAAAAAGAATCTGGAGATAAAAGCAATAAACCTTTTTTTTTTAAATCCCCAGAACAACAAATGCTTGCTCACACTCTGCTTTGACAGCATTGGAGTTAATGGAAGCGTAGGGGCGACGGGCTGCTCGGCGGGACTGCAGGATGTCCTGGCACACCCGACGGGCGATTCGAGTGAGTTTGGTGGTCTGCAGGATGAAGGTCTGCCGATTTTTAGCCAGAAGTTTAGCTCTTCCCGCGCTGCTGGTAAACGGGGACATGCCCTGTACCTCCTGGCGGGTCATGTGACCACGTGGAGCTGCATCCTATTGGAAAGATGCATCATTGCTCATCATTTGGTTTGTTCACTTTAGTATAAAAAAACAAAACAAAAATAGTCTCTTTAAAATGTTTGGCCTGAAATAAACTAGGCAGCAAGATGATTACTGAAACTTACAAGATATTTCCACATGATTTTTCAGAAGCATTAAACCCTAATATTTTTAAAACACAGTAATCATTGTCAATCAAGGAAAAAGACAGGTTTCACATACTGAGCCAGTTCTTGTGGCGCCCTCTAGTTGAGTGGGGGTCTTAAGACCGCCATACTTCTTCCAGTAAATCCAACAGGAAGCACAGAGTCTGCACTGCATGTTGGGAGGGCCCCATGCATACCACTGCTGAGACTGGGCAGCTGGAGGAGTAACAAGCACAATTAATGAGTACACTGGTTTTAATGTACAGGATGTTTGAGCTTATATCTAAATGGAAGCCATGGATGTGTACAGTGACTTGAGTTCACTCACTATGGCAGCTTTCACAACTGAGGCCTTTCTGGTAGCCTGTGGCACCATTTATGCCCGGCTTATTTCCAGGTGCCATGATCTGATTGGGGTTGGGCTTGGTGCTGAAGGAGAAAACAAAATTTAGATTCTCAAAAAGCAGAAACAAACATACTACAGGAAAGAGTCTGATAAGTAACTTATTATAAAACATTACAGACTCTTGATCTGTAATTCTCTCTCTCAATTACATGGGATATGTGCACTTATTAATGCAAAACAATGCTAACGATTTGTGCCATATATTTGGAAAGTGCCATTTATATCAAGGAGTGCAGTGACACTAAATACTCACTAGGTGGGGATGTACACCTGCTTCAGCTTGCTGTCCGCCTCTGCTGCCTTTAGTCTTTTCTGGTGGGTAAAACAATTAACTCTATTCAGAAACACATTCATATGCATGACGAAAAGTTCATTTTAAAAAAGCATGCAAAGCTTCTTACCTGCTGAATGTAACGGTCAGTAGTCTTCCACATGTAGTAGAATTGGACCACACTAGCTAATGACTTCCAGGGCAACTGCAGTTCAACAACAAATGTACATTTACATTGTTTGACCTTTCCCAAATAGTGCAGTTTGTGTGAGAGCAAATGGTGTTGTACACTCACAAAGTCTTGGCGAATGTCATTGAAGTCTTTGCCGTATTTCTCCAGAGCCTCCTCGAACAGCATGGCTTCTGAAGCGCTCCACTCCTCCATCTCGTCCCTGCACAGCACCGGGCCACCCTGCGGCACCAGCGTGGACATGGCCTTGGCCAGGTCGTAGCCGTTCTTCTGAAGAGTGTCCATGGCGTGGAACTACGGACAGACAGGACAGTGTGAATGAATGTCGGGTGTAGGTTTTTCACGGTACCAACATTTCAGTAGTCTGTACTAACACCGGTAAAATTTCAAGGTTCTCAATTTCGGTACCAGAGCAAAAACGGCTGAATTAAAGGAGTAGTTCACTTTAAAAAAAAAAAAACTTTTGCTGATAATTTACTCACCCCCATGTCATCCAAGATGTCCATGTCATTCTTTCTTCAGTCAAAAAGAAATTAAGGTTTTTGATGAAAACATTCCAGGATTTTCTCTATATAATGGACTTCATTGGGAACCAAATGGTTCAAGGTCCAAATGAGAGTTTCAGTGCAGCTTCAAAGGGCTTTAATCGACACCGGACGAGGAATGATGAATAAGGGTCTTATCTAGTAAAACGATCGCTCATTTAAAAAATAAATTAAGCAGGTTAAGTTTTAGAAGCTCAAATGCTCGCCTTGCTCTGTTCTGTGATGAGCGTTCGTGACTCTCCTGTTCAAACTCATTCATCAAAATGAACGAATCTTTTTTCGAGTCATGACTCGAAGGGTCCTAAATAAGACCCTTATTCATCGTCTGGTGTCGTTTAAAGCCCTTTGAAGCTGCACTGAAACTCTCATTTGGACCTTGAACCGTTTGGTTCCCATTGAAGTCCATAATATGGAGAAACCCCTGAAATTTCTGTTCGACTGCAGAAAAAAAGCCATGGACATCTTGGATGACATGGGGGTGAGTAAATTATCCTCAAAAGTTTTTTCAAAAGTGAACTACTCTTTTAAATACTTTAAAATAATTGTCCCGTTTTGTTTCGTCAGTTGGTTATCCCAGCCCATCATCGCAGGCTCCTATTCAATCGCGCATTTAAAGGGTCATTATTCCGGTTTAAAATGAAAAGTTGAACCAATGTCTATTGTGTATTGTGACTGGAAAACAAAGCAAGAGAAGAGTCTCCCTTTATAATCATTAAGATTGTCAATCTCTAAAGTTCACACTCTTGTGAAAACTCCCATTATAATAAAAAAAGTATTTATACAATAAATTTATTTACATAATGTTTACACTTTTTTGGTTATAATAACCTTGTGCTTTTTCAGCATTGTTTAACAGATCCTGGCTCTGATTGGCCACTGCATTCACACGCTTACAATGCTCAACACTGGTTAGAGCACGCTGTAAATAGAAACTTCTGACACTCAGAGAGCGCTCAAACAAACGCGAACTAAACAGCATTTGAAAGCAGAGTCTCACAGCATGCACCGAATATACCCCGGTGTTCTGAAAACCCTACAGTGTGAGTGAATGAATGAGGAATGCACTTTTATGAGTAGTTAAGGATGAGAGTGATTGAATGCATCCATTCTCTCACCAGTGTGATGTCTCTAGATGCAGCCGCTGCGCTCATGTGCAGACTGGGTTGGCGGATTGAACTGCTGCAGTCTAGTGCACGTGCAAATGTACCAACGGCCCTAAAATGAACATAAAACCAATCAAATCATGCTACTGCACAATAACATTTTAAAGAAGCAAAAATGGCCAGTCAAAAAAAGAAAGAAGGGAAATACTAACCGTGCCACTACCAGGAATTGGTCTATCTGCGGATCCTTCAGCTGGTTATCAGGATCCCAAACCTTTGTCTCAAGCTTCTCCTGCACTCGACTGTCTAATTCAACTGATGAGATGGAAAACATTGCATTTACATAATTAACTTAATCGGTTTTGAATTAGACCTTCAACATCCAACAAGAAACTTTTCCTAAAATGTGTTCTAAAATATATCAAACCTTTAAGTATTAATATAATATTGTAATAAGAATCATGTCCAAGTTTGCAACATCAAAAGGACATGTTTTAGTAAAAGCAAGGCTTAGAGACATTTAAAACCTTCTGACCTTCAGCCAGTTTGTCAGGGATCTCTGCCTGGTATTTGGAGCCCACTCTGATCTCCCCCTGGTCAGCCAGCAGGGTCTTCTGCACTGGGTCAAACACCAGAGAGTAGAAGAAACAGTCCTGCAGAACACACACACACTTGATGCACTTGCCTCATTTTAATTCAACAAAAGATGCTTACTTTGATGTAAAAAAGAGAAAATATTTAACAAATCTAAAAATGACCATTCAAAAGTTCTAAAGTATTTTCTATTAATTTAAAGGGATAGTTCACTTTTGAAATTAATTTTTGTATGTTTTAGCTTATCTCAAGGGCATCCAAGACACAGGTGTCTTTGTTTCCGCAGCAGTTTCAATTTTTATATTTTTAGGTCAAACCGTTCTTGTCTGTCAGTCATATAATGCAGGTCTATGGTCACCACCTCAAAGAGCCGTGTGATTACAATAGGTAAAAAAAGATATAAATACTGTTCGTTTTCTCACACAAACCGCTCGTTTCGTGTCTTAGGCCATCAATGTGTACTTACATCTACGAGTCATTAAATCATGTTTAATTTGGACTTCTCTGTGTATGCTCTTTGAGGTGGTGACCATAGACCTCCATTATATGACTGACAGACAAGAACGGTTTGACCTAAAAATATCAAAATTGAAACTACTGCGGAAACAAAGACGCCTACATCTTGGATGCCCTTGAGGTAAGCTAAAACATACCAAAAATTATTTCAAAGTGAACTATCCCTTTAATAATACTAAATGTATTACCCTTTCCACAAAAATATTAAAGCAGCACCTGTTTAACATTAATAACGTTGTTTCTTGAGCACCAAATCAGCATTAGAATGATTTCTGTAGGATCATGTGACACTGCTAAAAAATCTGCTTTGTTTACAACTGAACAAATTATTTTCGTATTAAACTCACAAAAAAGGAAAGTTAGCAAAAATGTGAAAACATGACAGACCTTAAGACTAGGGATGTTCATATGTACGAAAAACGAAGCTTGTAAACCGATCATTACCGTTAACAGACAAGATTGTTAAATTAGAATTAAATTAAAGTGGATATGTGACTGTGACCCATTAAAAATAACAAAATTTGCCTTCCAGGAGGGGTTTAGGTTTACATACGCAAATAGCAGCATAAACAAAAGAATATCGTCACATCACGCAGATGGAGCGGTTCGAATGAAACCATTTATAAAAGGAATAAATATGTAAACGCATAACATATTTCAGTTACTTAATTAAAGTCCCCGTGAAATCAAAATTGAACCTATTTACTTTGTTAGCGCATATTACTAGTCTTGTGGTGAACAATTAATCCGTGCAAGTGAATATATATTAAAAAAATGTTTTACCTTAGTAATCTTTAATCAAAATCTGAAAAGTTACTTCCGGTCTGGAACGGTTTCTTTTTCTGATGACGTAGGTTTCACAGTTTGGGTGGGGAAACGCTTAACCACTCCCCTCAAACCGTTAGTTTGCTATGAGCGAGAGATGGAGAGGAGGAGCGCTAGAGTAAAACCCTGTCCTCTGTTCAATATTCCGTTTCACTTGGAAATACGTCACAGCACTGGAGCAAAATTGTTTGCAACTTCCGGTTCACGGGGACTTTAAAGGTAGGGTGGGCGATTTTAGAGAGGCTAGCAATAGCAAGCTAGCTTTGAAAGCAAGAGACTACACAGTGAGTGCTCTCGCACTGCAGGTGGACACTTACCTCTCTCTCTAAGTAGCCAGTTAAAACATCAGTCTCATTCAAAAGTGTGACGTTGCATTTTCCTCTGCATAAAAACGATAATACACAGTATAAACAGGACTATCAATACAAATCAAATACCTTAAATATGGAGCCTGATATCATTCAGTCCTGAGATCGGTGTGAGTGTATTTACCGTATGTGCGTGGCTGGGAGAGACTCGAACTGTCGAGACAGGAACAGTTCTCTGTGCTTAAGCTGGTGTTTCTGCGGTTCTGAGGTTGAAGGCTGCTTGGACTCCTCTTCAAAGTCTCCTAAAAAACACACACGCATGAGTGTGATGCAAATAACCTCAATTAGGTCTGATGTGAACCAGCTCCCTTTCAGAACACACACACACAGACCAAATCTTAAATTTACACATCACATTAGGTTATTAGTGATGGTTGCAATCAATTTCACACTCATTCAGAAACAAGTAAATTGAATATCCTTCATGAGATCTGTTGACTTATAAGGGAAGCAAGCCATTAGAATTGCAGGTCAACTCTTGAATGCATTTCAAAAACATTTATTTTGGCAGATTTACAATGGCGATGGAGATATTTCTTAAATAGATACTCGTATTAAGATGAGGAGACCTGGCAGGACTTTATCAGACGATCTGACCAGACTCCACCCCTGCACGGAGCCAAAGGAAACCCTGTCAATGAAGAGGGCGGGACATCAGACCACACCCCTTTCCATTAACCCCTCCTGCCACCCCGGTGGCCCTGCCCCCTCCTTTCTCTCCCCTTGGCCAATGCGTCCCTGCCAGCTTTACTGGGAAACCCTGTGCAACAAACCTGAGGCGCCCATCCCCCCATTGAGCAACAACCCCCCCCCATGCACAAGTACGCATTTAAAAAAAAAAAAAAAATGCCACAAGCTCTCTTTCACACACACACACGCGCGCGCTCAAGACATATACGACAAATCCATCATACATGCACAGCCTCAGAGCCAGATGCACGCGCGCGCACACACATACATGCATTTAATAACACTTTCACTCTTTGACAAAGACACCAGCCAGACAGTGTTAACCTAGTGTTAACCCTTTGAGCGCCATGGCCCGGTGGGTCCCATGAAGGCTCTTTTGTTCCAAGAGCACAGGGCGGATGGCAGCTGAGGATAAGCACAGAGGAGCCCATTCAGGGGTGGGGTGGGGGGAGAAGGAGGAAGATGGGCAGAAGGTAGAGAGAGGAGGAGGAGGCGATGCAAAAGGGAGCCCTGATCTCGTGTAACAGGGCAGAGTTGGTGCTGTAGACGGCCACAACATAAAGAGGAGGATTCGTTCACTATTAAACAGGCAGCCATGACCTCTCATGACCGCAAAGGATTTGAACACTAACTGCCCATGTCAATGCAATAACCTCCTCGACCCACACCTGACCCTACTCTAGAATGGCTAGGTTAATGCACTGCACTGACATTTTACTTTACGGCAGTTCACGCACACTGAATTGCATGTAGGTGAGATGAAACATCTTTATCAAACATGTGGGATGCCTGCAGCTGTGATATAATGAATGTACAAAAGTAGATATTAGCAGCGTCTCATTTCGAAGGCTGCATCCTCCCGAGGGCGTATTTGTCTGCTCCATACGTCACTGAGGGGGCTTCGTTTCAGCTAACTGACAACTACAGGCCTTATCAGATGCTTTTCAAAGAGCACACTTGCACTGGAAGTGATGGTGTTAAAAAAACGCTAGACAGAGTAACAGAGGGCATCAGTTTCCATATACATTTTCAGATGTTGAGTTTACCACTCATTGTGCGATGCATTGGCCAAAGACCTGTAGATTTACCTGTATATGTGCATAGACTAACAATAGGATGAAATGAATCCAAGAGCACAAGTCATTTCAATAGGGCAACTAACGGTACGGATCCACTTTTGCATCGTGGTGTCACGACGCTTCCCCACATTTGTACGTTGATGGGCGTTCTTCAAGTTTACCGCTATGGCCGTGGTTTTTGTAGTAGGACGTCTAGAACAAATGGGACCCGCGAGAGACTTCCCCAGTCTCAGTGTGCTCTTCTTCTATTGGACAGACGTGTCACGTTCAACAGATTAGCCGCGTTTCCACTGCCGGGCTAGGGCTGGGCCAGAGCTAACAGCGAGCCGAGCCGAGCTAGTGGCCTCGGGCCTCAAGCACCGGGCTTGCGTTTCCACTGCCGGGCCAGTAGCCCCACAGCACTGCCCCAAACCCCACCCCTAACACGCCTTTCTGGATCAAACGTCATAAAACCCAACCCATTTCAGCGGGTATTATGAATTAATGTATTTTTTAAATTAGGAAGATAGCATGTATATTAACTCTGCAATAGTGGCTGCAATAGTGTCCCGAGACCAGTACAGGCGATTCTCTATTTCAAGCAGCGATTTTTTGCACGATATAACAAGTAGGGCTGCGGGCACGTTTTCAAGTTTTTCATTAACCGTTAACCGAGGCCCATCGGTTAATACTCGGTTAACCATAGTGTGCGCGCCGCAACTTCGAGATACAGAGTTAATTTTTAACACCTTTAATAACTGATTGGACCCCATTTGAAACGAAATTAATTTATAGAAATAAAACGCAGCAAGTACGGAGCAGTTAAAGCCGCATTTCCATCACCCTTCAAACTGAAATTGTCAATTGAAAATAAGCAAAACGTCCATTTCACGTCAAAAACTCCTTGTCTGCAAATAATAATAATAATATAATAACCATCATCATTATTGTAACATTTTATTAGGCTGCATATGTAGAAGACGCCTTTATCCAAAAAAGATAGAGCACAAATAAACACAATATTTTTTACGCATATCCAGTGTGTGTGGAGCACGCACTGATGGCTGCGAGACGCCCATGTGAATACTTGCAGTTTCATTGCATTTCTTTCAGTGGAAACAACTTAAAATACTCTTTCATTTCTGGTCATACAGAAAATAATAATACATTATTCGCAAATACATTTATTTGCGTAAACTCACAATAACAAGAAAACGTTGTGCTTTAACAATTAATCAAGGCGCGCTTCATGATCTCCGTGAACTGAAGCGCGAGACCTGAAACAGCCACCGCATTCGAATTTGTTCGTTTTAAATTGGACATTTATTAAAGCTTTAAATATCCAATTTAAAACGAACAAATTCGAACCGAAAGCCAATATCTTTCTGACTATGTAATTATGTAGCTAATTAATTTCTCTCTAAATGTGCATCCGGAGATGGAGATTTTTAGCCGAAAATGATTTAGAAAACAATAGTTTATTAATAAACAATTAATGCCTCGTTATTTTATATTATTTTATTATCAGACACATTTATTATAGCCTATAATCACCTATAATCCCCTTTCTGTAGGCTGTACGGCTCTTCTCATTCAGCACTGCGGGGAAAATATCATTTCCAGGTTCTAATTTGGCCTCAGAAAACCAGTAAAATATATATTTTTTTCATATTAATTAGTCAAATATTTTAAATGTTTAGGGGGCAAAAAAAAAATCTAACAAATATCTGAAAATTCGTCGATATGTAGCCATGTATATAGCCTATATATTTTTGCGCAGCATTTTGGCATAGGCCTACAGTTCAAATTAAAATGTTATGCAATTTTAAACGGTTAATCGGTTAAACATGGACACCCCTATGTGCATCTTGCTTCAGATCATAACGTTCCATAACACCGATAAACTTTTACCTTGAGCACGCCTCTAGCCCGAGCTGGCCCCCTCTGGCCCAAGGTATTCGACGGGCCAGAAATCCTGGCCGTTGGCCCTGAGGAAGCCCCGATCAAGCCCCGGAAGTGACAGTGGAAACGCGACTGGCCCTGGCACGCACTAGCACGGCCCGGCCCTGGCCCGGCAGTGGAAACGCGGCTATTAATTTGCATAAATATGGAAATCTACTAGCTCTTTTGACGCGCGGCATTTTTCCAAATGCAGCGCCGCCTTCCCGGGATGCTTTGCGATTGCATTAACCCTAAAACTGTATTTAACTGTAAAATAGTTTTGATTTATTTAAAAAAAATAATAAATACTTCCCTTGATCTGAGCGGTACAAGACTTGGCTACTTTTCCTAAGTTTGCCTCCTGAACACACACAATTTTTTTTTGACTCAATTCTACAATGTTAATGGGTGAAAAAAAAAATCCTTAATCTTGTATTTTGGTCAAAAATGGGCACCCATAGAAATGAATGGGAAAAATAAAATAAAATAAGCAAAAATAAGACACCAGGTGACAGCAAAGTCACTTCATCTTTAGGTTAGCTCTAAGAACTTATTGGAATGATATTTTAATGTAGGTAAAAAAATAAAATATAAAAATAAGCATAAGTTGCATAGAAAATATGGTACTTTTTGAAGTAAATAAATTCAAAAATACCCCAAAAATAAAAACAAACACCATAAATGGATAGACAAAACTTTATCGAAGACAGTGCTATAACATTTATAATAAATAAAAATTAGGATCACACCTGAGTCCTCTGTGCCCACATTCGTCCACAATTACAAGATTAAGGGCTATAAAGTGAGGGTTAAATTGGCTTGACGTCACCCATAGGAATAAAGTGGAGTGCAGCACAACAGAAGTATCGCACGGACAAGTGGATCCGCACCGTGACAGTTCCTCAACAAAATATAAGGATAAATATCGATATCCTTTTTTGCACAAAACCAAAAGTCCTCTAAACAATGGATGTGGTGATGACACTTCTGCTAAGTCCTTCTGTTTCTGTTGGGTGACTAGTTAACCATCTTGTCCATCCCTAATTATAATTCAAGTGATCTAGTTTTTTTTTTGCCTGTATAGATTGGCGTCCTTCTGCTAAGTCCTTCTGTTTCGAATGCACTGCCCCTTTGTCTGTCCAATTAGTGAATAAGTAAATATTTTGTCTAATTGATTACACCCTCAATCATCAATACAATGGTGTAGTACACTAAATATAGTAAAATGTCTTAGTGGAGCTTTAAGTAGGCATGAAATGTAAATTGCAATAATCCTTTCTTCCTTATAGTGACCGAGTGAAATGGAGAGGGAAAGAAAATGTAAGGTGGGACTTGATTTTGTCCATTAGGAATTGACTGGATCATTGTCGTTTGCTAATTGCAGCAATCTCATGTGAGTGAAAGGTAACCATTATTGTTCCGATTCACGCCGGTGCACTTCAGAAAAAGACAGGAATAGTAGATCTTGATTTCATGCTATCATTAAATCTATTTTGCAATATTCCACAGATTTCCCCTCAAACAAGTAGAAATGTAATTCTTAGACTCATTATAGGTCATAAAATTATACAGTAGTATGGTCAACAAAAACCATCGGAAGATCATTGATTTGCTTCTCCATCCAGATTGAAGAGATAAAATGTATAAAATACATGGCTGTATAATATGCAAGCAAGTCTGACTTGGTTTATACATTGGATTGATCCTCTTTGGTGCCTTAAAATTGGTTTCCAGTGTGCCCGTCAAAGCTATAACTCCTGGTTGGTGTTTCAATCCAAAAAGTCCATCTACATGGTGTGACACTTTATCTTAAGTGTGAAGACGAGACGTGAACTCAAGAGAAGACTGAAACAGTCGGGTACTCACTTGCATTGCTATCGGCCAAAGTGTTGAGGTTGGCAGATATATCTCTCCGCCTGAAGAGACAGACCACCTTGGCTTCTACATTTCCATTGGCAGTCTTAGGGGAGACAAGCGGCAAGAAACAGTGTGAGAAAGACTAAATACAAAAAGAACACACAGCCTTTTTCTCTATACAATGTGTGAAATAAGTACCTCAAGTGCTATTACTGTCTTCATGTCATGGACTTGTAAAACCGCATAGTTTAAGACTAACTTTAGAGGAACTACTTTCATCGAGTCAAATTGGGACTGAAAGAAACTGCATCGATATTAAAGCACTAAAGTAAAAAGTGAGTCCTGTTAATAACTACATTTCTACTCCTTTTCCAGCACTGAAAATGAACCACTCTATATGGAAATCTTACTCAATGCAACATGGCGTGGGTTAGCGTTGTGTATATTCAAGACAAAACCGACATACATACATATTGAACAAAGAGATCACTTCCATTAGTTTACCCATCCTGCTGAGCTTCACAGCCCTTCAAAATGAGGTTACATAAAAGTGTTTTTAATCCCTGCTCCAGGAAACAGGCCTGTGTCATTCTCAGCATTATATAAGTCTCTTATTGCTGGGTCTTCATCTCAAACAGCCCAGTGAGCATCGGCAGACAACAGCATGATGGCTGAGCATTAGCAATGCACAACAGAGGGGAGCAGGTGACAGAGACAGTCTGTTACGTGGTCATGAGTGACAATGCATTAGCGGAGAGCTGGCATATGTCAATCATCCATGTACAGTGCAATGTTTAAATCTCTGCTCATGCCGATTGATGATGTATGATGGTGAATGATTGGCAGACATCAAAAGCCCCAGCCCCCAACCAATCAAAGTAAGTCTGACTCGACTCGAGTCTAGGCCAAGTCATGCCGGTCAAAAATAGTTTAAGGCCAAAAGGAAACAACAAAAACCTGCATGCATTTCTTTAAGATTACATTAAGTGATTAGACAGAACATGTTCAAAAACTCACCTTGTTAAGTTCTTCTATTCGGCGGATCAGATATGGGTTACTGGAGGAGTTTTCAAAATACACATAATCTGCAGTAGACAAAAAAAAAAAAAAAAAAAACATCTGTAAGTAACACATCATTGAGTTTGATTTCTTAAAGACATGCATGTGTGTGTGTGTGTGTGTATATATATATATATATATATATATATATATATATATCAGATTCCAAAAGGTTCGAAATACTTCATTCAGAAAGTGTTCTAGTTTTGTGAAATTGCACACACGGACCAGCCACTAGTCAGGTGGCTATAATTACATGGAAAATTGAAAGGCCACAAAGGATTTCATTTCATTGCATTGCAGAAATCATTGCATTTCTAATCAGCTCCTAACGAACATTATTATTATTTGACTTATCACTCAGCAAGTCATTTACCAATCTATTCATTTGCCTTTGGGAGGCTTTTGTCTTTCAAACACATTTGCATTAGAATTTTTATCATTTCAAAATGATTTATTTAAATTTTAATTTACATTTTTTATGATTCATTTAATCATTAGCTTCATCAAACTCACAAACCCTACAGAAACCCCGACGTAATGTTTAATGCACTCATTTTTTCTTTCTCTTTGTATTGTTATATCAATATGGTACAAGATCATCCTATTAAGTTCAATGTGATAAACGAGTTAGGTCAAAAGTAATTTGAAAGTGGTGTAATGAATTACGTTATTAAATTCTTACATTTTTGTCTTGTCTTTGGAATCAGTAAACGACTACAATTTGATCTACCCAGCAGTGACTATGCATGTGCATTATGAATGCTAATGATTCATTGACGACAATAATTTAATTGAAAAATTTATCATCAGAGTCCATAGTTTTAAAGTGTGCAAAATGCGTGCAGCAGACACACGAGGAAAGCGAGCGTGCAGTAGTTAAATATTTTTCAAATGTATTAATGTCTTCAAGCTATGCAATGGATTAGGTAGGCTAGCCATTTATTTTGAAACATTTAACTGAGGGTCCAAAAACCCTCCAAACAAGTGATTTTACTGATGCTACAATAAAAGAACATAATAAAAATCAAGTTATAAGATCCTAGCCCACATTTCCTAAAAGCATCGTAAGCCTAAGTAGATTATAGAACCACCATTGCCACCAATGGTCTCCACGATCATCATCTTGCACGGTAAATTAAAACCTGTCAATCTGAGAGATCAAACCAATCCAAGCACGCTCCAGCTGTAAAACAGTGTCTGATTGGTCAACACATCAGCCACACAAACAAAAAAGTGGCACAGAAGCATCATGTGTGTAGTGCTTACCCATGCATCAGCTGCGCTTTTTCATAGTTAGGTCTCTAACTGAAACACATATGCCTGTTGTATTCTGCTAGTTGAGACCGTTTCAATGATATTTAACTAAGATACATGACAAGTCTATCTGTTACTGTACAATGATTTGACAGATCCCATTTTCATGTAAAAGCGCATTAATTAAAGGTTAAGCAAAACAAAAAAAAAAAGCACTTGTTAAGTGATTGTTATATTTTCCCTATATTCACAGCCCAGCATCTAAGCTTTAAAACAACACCTATTTTATGTTGGTTAAGCAAGTGGTCGATAACTTATTAGTACTCGTTTGAGACCTGTCAATTAGGGCTGTGAAACGATTAATCGCATCCAAAATAAAAGTTTTTGTTTACATAATATGTGTGTGTAGTGTGTATAATTATTTTGTATATATAAATACACATGTATATATTTAAGAAAAATGTGTTATTAATCTATCAAATATTTATATTTATGTATAATATGTAGTGTATATAATTATTTTGTATATACACATGTATATATTTAAGAAAAATGTGTTATTAATCTATCAAATATTTATATATAATATGAATTTTGTATAAATATATATAAAGTATATACATGCAAATATTTCTTAAATATATACATGCATGTGTGCGTTTTATATATACAAAATAATTATACACACTACACACTCATATATTATATAAACACAAACTTTTTTTTTGGATCCGATAAATCATTTCACAGCCCTACTGTCAATGATCGAAATTGACAAATGCCCATCCCTATTTCAGACTCTAATGTTGAATGACAAAATAACTATTCATGCACTACACGGTTGGGTACGTTATGCATATAAGCACATATCAAAGTCTATACTAGTGCGTCATTTGGGACAAAACGTTCAGTGCCCGTTAGATTGTAGAAAATGTAGCCCAAATGGAATAAATATCCAATATTGACCAATAAAAAAATAAATAAAAAACTCAAAAATATCAGCCGATAAGTGATTTGGTTCCAATATGTTGTTGTGCAATCTTAAAGATCATTTTAACACCTGTTATTCACAAAGTTCAACACAACCCTTTTCATGTGGAGTATTCTAGTTGATTTGAATAATGCTTTCATCTACCAACAGGAAAGCAGTCTATTCAAATATAAAATACAGATTCCATCACTAAACCCATGAAGAATCCAATAATTTGCACTTTTTTCCAAGAGATCCATAATCGTACAGAAAGTGACATGAGCAATGGTATGGGTCAATATTGAGAGCACATACGACGAGGCACGGTCAACAGCCTGTACACTGACTGAACACATCACTTTGGTTATGTAATCACTCTCTCTCTTCTGGTCCGTGTTGGTCAGCTCTGGACGTTTTGGTAGACGTTGATCTTTGATCGGACTTAATGCTTTCTTTTCTCGCCTCTACTCAGCCATGTTCTTAAACTGTGCCACAAGGGATAAATCAAAATGGAGGTCTCTCTCCCAAGTTCATGAGCTTCATCAATCAGAGAGACTGAGTCACATGGATCAATAATTACCCTTAAGGAGAAACAGGGACTAACCATCTGCTCTTCAAGCAGGGATGTGCTGTTTTGTTAGCGCTCATGGCATCTGCTATTCAGAGAAACCTAAAAATGCACTGAGGCATGGAGATACTGACAGGGACAAAAATAGTATACAAGTAAACCTAGAGGTGAAAGGCACAATTACTAGCATTACTAAACAAAATATCAAAAATAAATGATGGTTTTCAAACAGGTTTCCTGAACAATCCCCTGCTCTGCCATTGGTCAGACTCAGAGAAACAGATCCGGTCCCGTTTTAAACTCACAACATCTGCTAAGCCACTAGCCAGTTTTATTACACGGCTCTGTGGAACGCTTTATTCTGATTGGTCAATCCTCGTTACTGAATTCAGCAGCGCTATACGCTTACTAGGAATGTTTTTTCCTCGTGAAAGTTTTGCGATCGCTAAGCTAATAAAATATTTCAACTCAGATCAATATTTCATGTCTAATTATTTGTGGCAAGTAGCCATGTAATAGGGTGATGTACATCCAGCAGGTTGTTAACGCAGAATGAACCCCTTCAGGCTGATGCAAGTCCTGAACACCCTGTCTGGGTTTATTCTGGTGGAATAAAAACCGGATAGACGTACATTATCACTTACTTGATGACTTGGGCTAGTAAAAAATGAATCAGGTTTAGAAGAAGCATTTACACATTCTGAAGCGAAGAATTTCAACGTACAATTACAAATTGCTTACTTGTTGGTTGTCACTAGGACTGGGCAAAAACAAGAATCTTCATTTGAACATTTCAAGATCTGTCCTGCGAATGGATAATGAACATTCCTGTTTCCAAATATTTTAGTGAATTTTGAGACAATCTCTCTAGTGTAAAATAATGTGTTCATTTCAATTCAACATTTCTTATTTGTTTTCATCATTAATATGCATTACATTTATTTAGCTCAAACAGTGGAGCATATAGTGCCAGCAACGTCAAGGTCTTTGGGTTCAATTTCCTGGGGAATGCATGAATGATAAAAATGTACAACTTGAATGCAATGCCAGTCGCTTTGGATAAAAGCATCCGCTCTGCTCTAGTATCAAAATTGGCCATTGAAAAACTCTTTCATTCTGCTTGACCACTAGTGTAAAGCATCAGGGGGAAACAAAGTCACTTGTTTCATATGATAAAAATATCTGTCTAGCTCATATAGAGCAAGATCCTTATTTACCGGACCACACAATGTCACCTGATATATGCATTTGCCCACACGCACATGACCAGAATATTTCCGGCCTGCATCACTACACAAGTATCCTCTTTGCATCTTTATTAGAAGTCTCAATTAACACCCAAACAATGAGAGCTTCACTGAACTAAAACCGTCTCAATTAAAGTCCTGGTTTGAAACAGTTCAATTCTCTCTTGCTGACAAACACAGCAGTTGCATCTTGCCTTGTTTGAACTTAATGTTTGAACAAAGGAAGCCTTATCCTTTAGCATGCTTACTGTTACAGTAAAATTTGATAGGAAATGAACAGTGTGCCATGTTTGCATAATAGGAGAGCGACATTCAACCCAGGAGTTCAAAGATGATATAACATGGACAAACAATATATATATATATATATATATATATATAATATATGTGGGTGCACTGTGTATAAATACACACACATGCTTGTATATATTTAAGAAATATTTTCATGTATATACAGTATATAGATTTATATAGATGTAAACACAAACTTTTATTTTGGATGCGATTAATTGTTTGACAGCCCTAATATATATATATACATATATATATATATATATATATGAAGAGTTCAGATGCAAAAGCCTCTAAATGCCATTTGAAATTTTCTTCTTTAATGATGATTTTTATCAAGCTTCTATATTTAAGTTCAGTAATTTCACTTAAATGACAATTAATAGGTAATTATCATTGCCATTTAAGTGAAATTACTGAACTTAAATATACAAGCTTGATAAAAATGATCATTTTAGAAGAAAATTTCAAATGGCACTTAGAGGCTTTTGCATCTGAACTCTTCATATATATATATATATATATATATATATATATATTAATAAAAAATACAACGAATCAATATCTAGACACCAGTGTCCGAGAAGGTCGACAGGTATATAACGCCAGTATACGCATTCAACTTATTGACCGTAAAGGACCTTTGAAATTAATTATTATTTTACACATTTAAAATTCACTAAAAATACTGAAATTAGAAACTGTTTATTACCCATTAACAAGAATAAAAAGTTGCAATGTGACAAAAGAAATGATGGTTGGATGGAGGCAGATTTGAATGCCACCTTGCAGTTGATTGTAATAAAGGGACGGGGTTTAAACAGCCTAAATGACTGGAGAAGTCTGTCATACGTCACCAGAAGTAGGTTGTTCATTACATATTATATAATACATTTTAAGCATAACATTTTCATAAAAAAAAACATGCACAGATTAATCGTTCACAATAAGATCAATAACGTGAATTTAAAAAAATATTAATTTCTTTTCATGCAGACTTAAAAACTTTTGGATAACAGCCAATCAGACGGAGTTTTTGCCAAATGCCGACTTTCTCAAAATGGGCAAATATCACCAATTCAGCAGAGTGTAGCACTAGCTCTCATGTTGTTCTATAAAGCCTAAAGAAAAAAACACACTCTGATCAGGTGGGTAAAATAAAGAGCATTGGGACAGCATTTGAGTCACAAAGCTTCGGATTCACAGAGGTGAAATGTAGGGATGAAAGCGGTTGGGGCCAGAATATAAGGTCAAGTTCAATGACCTTAAAGCAGTACTTGACTGTGTAAACCTTCCAAAACACTAGCAAACAGCACAGTAAAATGCATTGAAGGATCCGGCAAACCATTAAAAGAAAAACAACATTACATTACATGAGAACCAGCTTCTTAAAGGGGTAGTTCACCCAAAAATGAATTGCGTCATTAATTACTCACCCTGATGTCGTTCCAAACCTGTAAGACTTTCATTAATCTTCGAAACACAAAGATATTTCCGATGAAATCTAAGAGCTTTCTGCCAGTCTACTCAAACACCACCTTGACGTATCAAAAAAGTTCACGAAGAGGCTCAATTTATATGGATTCGTTTTACAATCTCTGAGCTTTTTTAAGCGTCATAGTGGTAAGTTGCGTAGCTGTCAATGGAGGAACGGAAAGCTCTCAGATTTTATTAAAAAGATCTTCATTTGTGTTCTGAGATGAATGAATGGTGAGTAATTAATGACAGAATTTTAATTTTTGGGCGAACTGTCCCTTTAATTGTATAAAATATTTTAAATGACATATGTTGTGAGCAGATGCAGACTTTGCCTTCCTCTGAACCCAGTCTTGATAAACTCTAATACATTTTGACAAGCGTGTAATAACGGAAGGTTTTCTTCCAGAACTTCCCATCATACCCTGCCTGATCAAACTGCAACTGCAATAAAGCATCAATCAGCAGCATCTGCTAAAGCAACACCGCCTGATTGTCGTGACCTATTTACAGTCGATTCCCGGATTTAAGAAAATAAAAGCACTATAATGCACACCATGTCACACTACAGTCAATAACGTTTACGCGCATGCAATATTATTAGAAGGTAACATTAAAATGCATTTCAATAAACAGGAGGATGAGCATCTCTGACAATAGATGACAGCATACAGTAGAGATGACAATGGGTATATATTGCATACTAAAACTGGAGCTGGATTTACTAATGCAGCTTATATCACATAAGCATCTTTTGCACGTGTATGATCATAGAACTAATTCTCGAGTCGATCCATAAATGCACTTATATTCCCATTTATGAACTGAACTATTCGTTTCTCTTCTCTGAACTCTTTTCACGAACACCAAAACTAGGTTCAAGTTGAAAATGTCTAAATTTCCCTCTGATATCAGTTTAAATGAACAATTATTTGACTTTTTTTCAAACAGGAAACAAAACCGAAAGTCCTTGCATCCCGTACTGTGAGACTCCCATATGCACTCCATATAATTCAGCTGTCAGAAGTTTGACAGAATGGCACGGTTCAGGGAACGTGTGCGACAAAAACTTGAATGAAAGTCTTGAAAAAGTGAGTAAAAACCATCTTAAGTGAATAAACTAACGCACGGGTTTCCTCATAATTAGCTCATTTGCTTGCGGTGGCTAAGTAATTACTTTAATCAAAACTACGGGAGAGTTTGCGACCCAATGCAAGTTTTTATATCCAAGTAATTTTAAAAGTGACCTTTAATACATATATAAACAAATAAAATTGAGTTAACCCAAAAGCCGCCGTAATGAAACTAGCCTAGCTCGCTTAGCAACGGGATTCCGCTCATTGTAACTAAGGCGGAAACAGCCGCTCGCGCTAATGCTAATGCTAACCCCCGCGAGCCTGCTGCTAGTGTTAGCTTCAACAATAATACTCACCTCCAACTCGGTACATGTTGGCCGCCATTCTCTCACTCTCCTAAACAAACACACGAATCACGGATTCCCTCGTCGCGTGGACAAAACGTGTATCCAAAACTGGTGCTGGTTCTTTTGATCCTCGCGTGCGCTGGCGTACTTCCCCCCGTCGCGAGACAAAGCCGGGACCCGGCACGGCGCTGCCGCTCTGGCGGGTAAAAGTTTAAAGTTTCCGCTACAATGTTACTCCGGATGGTAAAAAAATCGCGTCTTTGTTTCGGCGCTGCGATAAAACTCCCATCGAAGCCCCTCTCAGACATTCACACTTGACACGAGCCCTTGATAGCCAGCCTATCTCTCTCTTTCTCTCTCTCTCACTCCACTCTTCCTCCCATCCTCCGCTCCCTGCTTCATCCTCCTCTTCTTCACCTCCGCTCTGTTTCACACACACATACACGAGCGCGCGCGCACCCCTTCTCCAACGTCATCTTCGGAAGCTAACGTCATTTAGAATTCGGCGAACTCCTGTCAGAAACTTAAGCTCCCGCTTTTTTTTTTTTTAAGTTGAGATTATTATGTAAAATTTGATTTTTTCTAAGCACATTGGGTAAACAAACTAATATGGTGAGACTTGCATCACTTTATTGATTATCATTTATTTATTTATTATTATTACGAATTTGATGTACACGAATTAATACCGGTATGAACGACGACACAAATTGTTACAGAAGTAGTTAAAATAATATAAGGTTATAAAAATAATACTTACAATATTTTAACTACTGTGAAACACACTTTTCGGATCTATAATATATATAGGGCTTAAATGGATAACATATAAACAGTGTAAAGGTGAATTACAATCACACACACACACACACACACACATATAGTCTCCAAAGTCACCTGTAATCACTCTTTACTTTCTAGCAATACACAAGAACACATTTGTTTTGCGTAGTTGTAAAGTATAGGCTATATTAATGGATCTGAAGATATCAATAAATAGTTTATTCATTCAACCGTTTCCTAGGAGCTGAAGGAAGAACACCCACTGACACCTATAAAAGGTTCAATACATTAAATTTACAACGAAAATGTATTTTTCCTAGATTTTATGCAGAGATTTGTTTGTATGATATATCAAGTCGCTCAAACTATCAGCAATGTTCATCTGAAAACATGAGGCAGAACCAGGTTATTATGAGTGGAAACTGGTGCAATACTTCCCTCTATTGATTTACAGGCGGCATCACAGTCTCACATAAAAAAAAAAAAAAAAAAAAAAACATAAAAAAAAACGCTTGCTAGGTGGCGTTAGCCTGACTACGTCAGACTTCCTACGGCGTTGGGTGATATTAAAATTATTTCACTTCTGGAATCACATTAATTGCGAAACTGGAAGTACACACAGACAAAAAGCATTCTCATTTTAAAATTTATTGATTGATTAAAAATAACAAAAATTTCACATTGTTAAACAAGCTGAGAAAAGCTGACTTGATCCATACAAGACCAGTCTTTTGGAAATTTTTGGACAGAGGACATTTTCCTGACAGCTAATAAAGCAATGATTATCCCGCTGCTCTTAACACAATGCTTCACAGAGACACATGACATATGGCTAATAATGTAATGACAAAATAATGCATGTAGTATTTAATGAAAAAAACAGGTTATTAAAATGAACACATGAAAGGCATTATGAAGTAAACAAGCACATGTAAACTTGGAAGTACACTGAACATGATACATGTGGAAACAAGAGATTATTTTATTTCATTTAATGCATCATTCTCTCATCATGCATTGAAGTGAGATTTATTAATTTTACCAAATGTGTGAATTTCATATAAACTCTCAAGGCCCCATAATTAAAAAAGTAATAAATTTTTTTTTTACATTAAGAACATAAAACATACTTTTTTTCAGCATTATTTTTTTTACCACCACAATTCTTTAGTTTTTTTTTATTTTCCTTTTGGTTTTGAAGTGCAATAAGACATTTCTTTAAAAAAAAAAAGAACCTCAAAAACAAATATCAGACAAAATATATATATTTTTTGGCCATTAGTTTAACCTCAACAGGGTAAAGTCAGTTCATGAAGAAATGTAGGTAGTGGATAGCTATGCATTACATCCGACTTGTCAATGGTCAAACAACAACAAAAAAGCTCGTATAACCTTCCAAATGCTTCATGATGGTGCGAGAAGATATTTCCTCCTTGTTTCATTTTGGATATCTTCATGCCTTTTTCTCACTCTCTTGATTCCTGGTATCTGTCTCTCTATGTGCCGTTTTCTGGAGAATTAGAGGAAGAGCGGACAATAGAGGAGGAAGCTAGATGTTCTTTACTGTCTCCAGTCCCCGCCCCTTTAACTCGCCACTGAAGAATGCAGGTGTCTTTCCCGCCCAATGACAAGAGGTGACTGTCATTATGAGTGAAACGAACGTTGGTCACATGACTGCCATGGCCCTCATACTTATAACTTGGAGCCTGAAAGAGAAATCGGGGAATAAATTGTTGATGTCTTGCAGTAAAAGCAAACATGATCTGATAAAGTACATTTTCTAACTCAGCATAACAACCTAATACAATTTAATTCAATGTTAATCATACAGTCTAATAAGATTTGTGTTCAATGCGGAGTGGCAGCGACTGACCTTTAGTTTGGGACATGGATACTGGAACAAATGCACCTTACAGAAGTCGTCGGCCACTGCCACCATAGTCTTATTGTGCGAGCGACACAAGGCATTGATGTCTGTCCCATCTGATCCCTCGAGCCACACCCCTAGACAGCATGACAGTTACATATCATTACACTGTGGAATACACACTCATAATGAGTTACATTTTAAGGTACACTGTGTAACTTTGTTTTGTTCAAAATTAACAAAAATTAAACAATAAATCAATAGATCAGCGCCTCCAAGACGCTTTGAGGAAGTGTCCCTGGACAAAAGCTGTTTTAAGCGCAAAGGGTGGCCACACCAAATATTGATTTGATTTAGTTAATAGAAGTTAATCGATAAATAAAATATGTTTGACATTATTTTTGAAAGCATCCTCACTTTATAGCATTTTTACACAAGTGTCTAAAACGTTTCACAGCACTGTAGCTTTGCTGGAAGGTTTCTGCAAGCGTCATGGAAACATAGCTGCAGTTCTTCTGGATTTAGTCTCAGTTTTTTTCTAACTCGAGGATGATGAGATCAGATAATACCGGCTGTTGTCACTCAGACACCTTGTGTATGCAAAAAATCTCACTGGATTATTATTATTAATAACAAAAAGAATGTGTGGGATGTTATCTGATATTTCCTACTTTCCCAGTTGGTGAAAATACTATTGTGGCTGCGACTTTTGCACAGTACTGTATATATTTATATACACTCACCTAAAGGATTATTAGGAACACCATACTAATACTGTGTTTGAATGTTGGCTCATATTGATAGGATAGCATCTTGTAGTTGATGGAGATTTGTGGGATGGACATCCAGGGCATGAAGCTCCAGTTCCACCACATCCCAAAGATGCTCTATTGGGTTGAGATCTGGTGACTGTGGGGCCATTTTACTACAGTGAACTCATTGTCATGTTCAAGAAACCAATTTGAAATGATTCGAGCTTTGTGACATGGTGTATTATCCTGCTGGAGGTAGCCATCAGAGGATGGGGACATGGTGGCCATAAAGGGATGGACATGGTCAGAAACAATGCTCAGGTAGGCCGTGGCATTTAAACGATGCCCAATTGGCAGTAAGGGGCCTAAAGTGTGCCAAGAAAACATCCCCCACACCATTACACCACCACCACCAGCCTGCACAGTGGTAACAAGGCATGATGGATCCATGTTCTCATTCTGTTTACGCCAAATTCTGACTCTACCATCTGAATGTCACAACAGAAATCGAGACTCATCAGACCAGGCAACATTTTTCCAGTCTTCAACTGTCCAATTTTGGTGAGCTCTTGCAAATCGTAGCCTCTTTTTCCTATTTGTAGTGGAGATGAGTGGTACCCGGTGGGGTCTTCTGCTGTTGTAGCCCGTCCGCCTCAAGGTTGTGCGTGTTGTGGCTTCACAAATGCTTTGCTGCATACCTCGGTTGTAACGAGTGGTTATTTCAGTCAAAGTTGCTCTTCTATCAGCTTGAATCAGTCGGCCCATTCTCCTCTGACCTCTAGCATCAACAAGGCATTTTCGCCCACAGGACTGCCAAATACTGGATGTTTTTCCCTTTTCACACCATTCTTTGTAAACCCTAGAAATGGTTGTGCGTGAAAATCCCAGTAACTGAGCAGATTGTGAAATACTCAGACCGGCCCGTCTGGCACCAACAACCATGCCACGCTCAAAATTGCTTAAATCACCTTTCTTTCCCATTCTGACATTCAGTTTGGAGTTCAGGAGATTGTCTTGACCAGGACCACACCCCTAAATGCATTGAAGCAACTGCCATGTGATTGGTTGACAATTGCATTAATGAGAAATTGAACAGGTGTTCCTAATAATCCTTTAGATGAGTGTATATATAAACAATCCCATGATGTCTTTTTTATTCCAAATTTTAGAGTAAAAAAATCAGCCAGCATAAATAAAAAGTAAAAATTAAATAAATAAGTAAAATACACTGATAACGAACAATAATACAAAATAAAAGACTTTCTCTCACCCATGACATGGAATCCAAGCACACAGGTATAGGACGCCCACTCTCGATCTTTACTTTCAAACCGGTTCCTCAACAGCTTGCAGCCGCTTGCAACATCCCCTTTTTACACAAACATTAACATTTAAATGCATTTTAAATGATATTGTTTTCAATGAATATGTCTCTGTATATCATGCACACAAGCCTTACAGTATAGGATTTCATAATCGCCGGAGTTAGACATGATGTATTTTCCATCTTTGGACCAGTCGAGGTGAGTAATGAAACTGGAGTGCCCCTGAAGTTACATTTAGGGAAGAGATATATCTGCATGACTGATAGTGTACTTAAACACAACCCCTATAAACAACAAACCACCATAAAACATTTAGGAAACTGTCCCAGCATGCTTTGCTTACCGTGCACTTTCCAAATCGCGTGTAGCGTCGACCACCGTCAGTGACGTTGTAAATGTAGATGAAGTTATCATGGGAACCAACAGCCAAAAAGCTGCCATCTATGTTAGGGTGAGCAGTAAAATAAAAGTTCCTGATTGTTAACAGGCTTATGAGAACTGCAGGCCGCATTCAAACACATGCCTTATATTTTACAAACAAGCTAGAAACATAAAGATAAGGACGAGTGGGCCATGGCTTTTTTTTTTTTTTTTGTACAGTGATTTTGTTGACCTCTGACCTGGTGAGTATCTCATTACAGACAACTGCTCGTTCCCGTCAGTCAGGTCTGACACCACTTCTTTGGTTTGCAGATCCAGTACAACCCATCTGTATAGGTAATGCGTTAAAACCACCAG